ACATACACATTTCACAAATTTCACCAATTTACTGTAAAAACAAAGTTAAATAACAAAATGAATGTTTAACTAGGATTAGGTTAGGTTCTAACCTAACCAAATCCGAGTGAGAATTCATTTCGTTTGTGATTATTTTTATTTATAGTTATTTCGTGAAATGACTCACTTTGGTGTCATAGTCCCAGTTAGGTGAAAATTTTAACATAGGAGACATTGTGAGTCTGAGCAGAGGCTCACAAGTTGGTGATAGTTGGTGGTAGGAGAGTTGTGGAGGAGGTCTGCTGTACACGGTCCTAAGGATCAAGGTCCCACCTGTGAGGTAGGAGACCTGGACCTTACCTCATCACGTTGCTTCCCTGATACTCTGATGCGATCCATTTACCTAATTATATGTATACATTCCGTTAGCGTGCACCAGATTCTGTTTTTCCCCCTCTCTCTCATATATATATATATATATATATATATATATATATATATATATATATATATATATATATATATATATATATATATATATATATATATATATATATATATATATATATATATATACATATATAATAAAACTCTCCAGCTATTCTAAGTCTCCCTTTCCTTTTAAAAACCCTTCTATATCCTCCCCTTCACCTCACTCATACACAGTCTGGCCGCCTCTATTACCACTCAGCCCCACACACACCCTCGCTCCCTGCCACCATCCTGGCCCATAAGTATGGCTGTAAGTATAGCAGTAGCGGTGAGGAGGGGGAGAGGTGTAGACCTTTTACTCTCCCCATTCCTCTTTCTTCACCCAGACACTCTCCAGGCCCCCCTACCCCAAAAATTCTCACACTCTCACCTTCCGTGTACACAGTGCAGGTGTTGTTACTCTCACCCACTTATGACACCACTATTTCACACCAGGAGGGCTTCAGTTGCCTCTCTCGGTACAACTCAGTGCTGGACAAGGGTCTTTTCCCGGTTTTAAGAATTTTTTGTGGAATGTGTATATATTTTTCCCTCTCTCTTTGTTTTGATTTTCCTTGAAATTTATTTGGAATTTTATATTTTTTCAGAGATTTTATTTATTTTTATTTTAATTTATTGGAGAGTTTTCATTCCCGACGACCAGCCAAGGTCACTTGTGGCCCCTCGCGTCACACCAGGTGGCAGCCACAGTTGCCACTCTTGAGATAATTTTTCTACAAGGGGTAGGTCGTCACTCCCTGCTGGTATTGTTGGAGGAAAATTTTCAATGAATTTCCTTAAAAAAAATAAATAAATAAATAAAAATTATGAAATCTTAGGAATATATAAATTTTCTACAGAACGATAGGGAATTTTGTTTACAATTTTCCTTTCTATTTGTTGTACTTCATGTCATTTAATGTTGAAAATCAAATGACTTCGTATATATTCAACACATTCAGCTGAACTCTGAACCTTCACGTTATTCTGAAAAGAGAGAGAAAAAATTCCTCACTTCCTGCGACTCTAAATCCACTTTTTGTGTTCTTGGGAGAGGTAATGGAAGGGTCACCCAGAGGGGTGAAATACATGAAGCTCGTAAATGTTAATGTCTTGGGTTGGTCACTGCCGGAGGTCGAGCAAACTTACCGTAATGTTACTGTGATTAGACCAGCTGGGCCAGGTGGTGCTAAGATTAGCTGGACCAGGTGGTGCTAAGACCAGCTGGACCAGGTGGTGCTAAGACCAGCATGACCAGGTGGTATTAAGTCCAGCTGGACCAGGTGATGGTAAGACCAGCTGGACCAGGTAGTGTTCGTTTCAGCTGCACCCTCGCTCCCCCAGCTGGCCATAACCTAAAAATAAAATGTCACGCTGGAATATCTAAAAACACAGAGGGAAAAAAGTGAGCCGTTGGCCAGACACTTCACAAGTAAAATGAATGAATAATAAAAATGGCTAAAACTCTGGACTAAAATGATTTCATGAAGAGAGAAGAGATTTTCTACTTTTTTCTTTCCCCACAGTTACCATCTCTCCTGAAAAGTTCCTTTGTATTATATCCTCTGCTCTGTTTCGTGTTAGGTTCAACCATTTCGCCTTTTTTCTTTTAACTTGAGTTTTAAACGAATGAACGAAACAGCAGAAGAAAAATTACTACCTTACACACAATAATGTTGAACAAAATAAAAACAACAAAGAAAAAAGAACAGATCTTATGTTATTAAAAGTTGTGCAAACAAATTTTTATTCACAAAAAAAAAACACCGGACCAGGCTATTGAGAAAACTGCACAGGGTGTGTGTGTGTGTAGGAAAAATATAAATCTAAAATATAAATCTCATTACGAGCTCAGAGAGGGACATAACCCTCCCCCCTACCCCTCCCTCCAACACACACACACAGAGGAAGCAACAAAGATGGAAAGTTCAACTGAGTCCTGGTGGGAGAGAGTGCAGCTCATGAGACTTGGCAAACCGAGAAGTGTAAATATTTATTTTTTCATAAACAAAATACAAACAAAAGATAGTAGACTAATAATAATAACCATATGAATATTCCAATTGATATCAGTAGCAGTCACAATCAATAAAAAATAATAATAGCGATAATAATAATAATAATAATAATAATAATAATACAAGAAGAATGTCAATAATATCAGTACCAATATCAAAATCCATCAATAACAACTAAACAAACCTACACCTTAACATCATACAGGTGACAGTAGAGCGAGTCTGGCGTCACTGTGTTCCAAATATCACCTCAGTTTAATAATTCATTCTACGTGATCTTGTTATAATATGTACATGCGTTATCCCTTCACATGTTTGCATGAAGTCTCAAGTTCTTATGTGGAAAACTCTTAAAGGGAATTGGACGAACAGGACGAACGGGCAAACAGACGAATGGACGAAAAGACAAAGGGATAGAACAATAGCCTGAAATTAGCAACTGATAATTTTGATGACAATAACATAAATGAAGATTGTATTTATTATGAGGAATGTACAGTACAGCGAGGTGATGTGTGTGTGTGTGTGTGTGTGTGTGTGTGTGTGTTCAGGTGGATAATATTTACCTAACAAACACTCATTCAAAAATATCATATTTGAGTAAGTGTCGGGGTAGTAAGTGTTGAGGTAGGTAGGAAGTAAATGTTGGGCAGGCAGGCAGGCAACAACTGCTCGGGTCAAGCAGACAGAGAGAAAGGCAAGCAGATGGGCAGGCAAGCAGGCAAGCAGACAGGCAAGCAGACGGGTAGGCAGGCAGGCAGACGGGCAGGCAGGCAGACAGGCAAGCAGGCAAGCAGACAGGCAAGCAGGCAGACATGCAAGCAGGCAGGCAGAGAGGCAAGCAGTAAAGTGCTGGAGTCAAGCCTGGACACTCACACAGTACCACAAGAGTTGACAATATCTCCCTCAACATGACCCAGACACTCCACTGTGTTTGCTTCTCATTTTTTATAAGCCAAAGAATTTTCTGACCACACTGTAATATCCAGAGAGATTTATTTTGAACTCTTCTTGAAATTTAACGTTTCCCTGCAACTGTGTTGACTGAGTAACCTCTTATAAGAAGTAACATAATACACAAACGAAACTTCCTCATGTATACTAACTATTCTTTATCATTTAAAACCTATCTGGTGCTGGTAAAGAAAGCTCATTATTTAGACAGTCAGCGTACGAACACAACACGTATACAATGTAATGTTATCTGGCAAATCATTATCCTATGCAGGCTTTGAGTGTGGGATTAGTGGTCCTCAATATTAGTGGAACCTAATCCTGACTTACCGTAATGTTAATCAATAGGACTATGATCCATTGGGACTTGGGAATCATTGGGACATGGGACCATTAGGATTGTGGGAGGGAGGGATTATTTCACCAGCACTAAGGCACCTCCTGATGGCTCCTGCTTGGCTCAGATTAAGTGTTTAGTGGCGTGGTTGTTAATGGTCCATTCTGTCTTGATGGCTCTCTTGGTTAACGTGATGTGTTAATACCCTCACTGGATGGCCCTCTTGGTTGACGTGATGTGTTAATGCCCCCACTGGATGGCCCTCTTGGTGGACGTGATGTTCTAATGCCCCCACTGGATGGCCCTCTTGATTGACGCGATGTGTTAATGCCCCCACTGGATGGCCCTCTTGGTTAACGTGATGTGTTAATGCCTCCACTGGATGGCCCTCTTGGTTAACGTGATGTGTTAATGCCCCACTGGATGGCCCTCTTGGTTAACGTGATGTGTTAATGCCCCCACTGGATGACCCTCTTGGTGGACGTGATATGTCAATGCCCCCACTGGATGGCCCTCTTGGTTAACGTGATATGTTAATGCCCCCACTGGTTGGCCCTCTTGGTTAACGTGATGTGTTAATGCCCCCACTGGAGGGCGCTCTTGGTTAACGTGATTAATGCCCCCACTGGATGGCTCTACAGGTTAATATTAGATCACAATAGCTATCCTTCATGGCTCAACAACTTCCCGTAAAATCTTAATAGGCCTTCGTGGTGGCTCCGCTGGGTAATGCAAGGTTTTAATGGCTCTCCTTGATGGCTCTGGTGAACTCTCGTGTCTTCCTCGATAAATCTGAATAAATGGGTCAAGTTTGAGGCAGAGAGCAGTTTACATGTGATTATGCCGCTTCAACTTTCCCCATAAAGAAGGTGGAACATCCTACCTTGTGTGTCAACTGTATGTTACGACATGCTAGTTTAATCTCCACTAATAAAAACATACGAGGGGGGTGAAGCTGTGCCTCACCCTGTATTATTATTATTATAAGTATTATTATTATTATTATTATTATGAGTATTTTATTATTATTATTATTATTATTATTATTATTATTATTATTATTATTATTATTATTATTATTATTATTATTATTTTCGGTTTGTATTTATCATTTTTATTGCATATATCATTGTTGCTTGTGCTTCATATATTTATAAGAACTGTATGTATTGTAATGTGTTCCCTTAATGACCACATGCATCTCACTTTAACACTAACACGTATATACCTTCTATTTACAGGTGGATGGATCACGCACCAGCAAGAAGTTATAGAATATGAAGATGGAAGTTATGGACCCTACCCCATTAGCAGTACAGGATATGTTTTGATCTAAAAAAGAAAATAATATAAAAGTAAGGATGCAGACCTATTAGGAAAAGTAGAGACACTGAGGTTGAGACTCCGTTTGTGACATTTGATATTATGTCCTGATCTAAAGACTTGGAGGAGTTGATGTGATGTGATGATACTCGTTTAAGTACATGAAGGTCTGGGCTGAGACAGACGGGCGTGGTCGACTTCGCTTACATATGGTGACATCAGCAGTAAATTCAATAAGTAACTATGACGACGAAGAGGAGACCGGCGCCTGGGAGGTCACGTCTCCAGTCCTCTGTTGTGGGGCTTTTGCAGACGCTCTTGATATGGAGAACACTAGAGGTGTGCAGGGCTGCAGGAGACATCCTCCGTGCTGATTCTTATAACTCCTCCTGCTTGGAAGGTTGTACCTGTGGGGTTCTTAGATCCAACCATCTTCACGAGGAGCTGAACACTTTTGATTGCTCTTTTACGAACATGAAAACCTTCCCGGAAAAATTACCAAGTGACCTTCAGGTGCTAAGTGTTAAGGGCAACTCGATATATTACGTTTTGGACAACATTTCCCAGCTGACTGATCTTCGGGAGATTGATTTGTCTGGCAATAGAATTAAGTCCATCGGGAGAGGAGGCATGTTCCAGAATATGACACGACTCGTCTATCTTAATGTTGGTAAAAATACTATATCTACCATTTTCCATGACAACCTTGTGGGTCCCAAAGCTTTACAACACCTAGTCCTCTCCAACAATAAGATTAACTACATTGAGAACGAAGCTCTTCTGGACTTGACGAAGCTACAGGTGTTGGACCTTGAACAAAACTCCTTGGGATCACTGTATAAGGAGTGGTTCCACGGTCTGGGTAACCTGGTAGCTCTTAACCTCGCTCACAACCGGATACACAACATTCCACCCTCGGTTTTCAGAGTCCTGAGGTCCCTCGAGAGGATGTATTTAGCAGGTAATCGGATCTCGACTGTAAATCCGCTCGCCTTCTCAGGTCTGATCAGCCTGCAGGTCCTAACACTGGAAGACAACAAAATGGAGAGGATTCCTACTGCGGCGTTCCAGAGTCTGCCAGCGCTAGAGACTCTCACCCTAGACAAGAATCCCCTCATCAAGATCCAACCGTTAGATTTTTCACATCTCACTGTAGCTAAGATAAGTTTGTGCCAAATGCCCGACCTTAATATTATTGATTCGAAAGCATTTTACAATCTAATAAATGTATCTACTATACACATTAATAACAATAAAAAGTTAACGTATGTTCACCCTTCTGCATTTATGAGGGTGGACTCACTGAAGGAGCTACAGCTTCATAATAACAACTTAATGGGAATACAAAAAGAAATGGCTAAATATATGCCAGAGGGAGTAGAGCTTTCTTTACACGAAAACCCACTAAAGTGCGACTGTAACGTGAGATGGTTGAGGGAGTTGATAGCTCTTGGGGAAGATGCTAATATAACACTAGTTGAACCTGAACACTTAGTGTGCCACAGTCCACCCAGCTTTGCACACAAACTGCTGAAGAATGTTTTGCTCCCCAAGCTCCCTAGGCAATGTTCTCCTACGGTGCTAAACGTAACTCAGTCGGAGGCCATAGTGGGCAAAGTGGGTGAGCGGCAGGCACTGGAGTGTCGTGCCCTGGGCTCCCCGATTCCTCAGTTGGGTTGGATCGTACCAGACGGCTCCTTTTTGAACACCAGCTTGAACAAGATGGATCGAAGGTTTTTCCCTCCTGGTACTCTGGTGTACTATCACCTTAAGCCAAAAGACCGAGGGCGATATACATGTGTGGCCGAGAACACCATCAACAAAACGTTCAGTTCTATAACTCTCAACATCACTGGAATCGACATAAACCTCTTTCCTATTCACGTCTCGTCGCACTTGGTCACCCTTGTGTGGAACGGTACCGAACGTCGCGCATTTCCATCTTACAAGATCGTGTACACTGAGGTTGACGACAACGGCACCGAGGTAGGTGAGGTGCGGTCGAGCGTGGCCAGCCCCTTGTGGAAGAGCTTTACCGTCAGGCACCTCAAGCCCCTGTCTCATTACCGATTCTGTATCGGCAACGAGGACAATTCGAAGTATTGGCTACAGATTTCGTGCTGTCTTATCACCACTCAAGACATAGTGCAGAACATCTCCAGGATCTCCAACGTGGTGGTGGTGACCGTGACGGGAATCATGCTCATGATGACAGTATTGTGTCTCGTCTCCGTGGCCTCAAGAAAATACCGACAGATGTTTTACGAAACTCCCGACAAGGGCAGTGAAGGTTGTAGCATCCAGCTAGACAGCTTCTACCGCCCACTTCTGGGAGATTCGTGACGGTTAAAGAATGGCAACGGCTGCCACCCGATCCTGCTGCGTCGTCCCCCATGCTGTGCCCCAGACCCCTCCTCCCCTGGCCCACATACTCCCCCACCGCGCTCTCGCACCCACTCTAACGCCCACAATAGCCCAAGACATACGCCCACCCCTTCTACACGACCCAACATACTGGAGGACTGTTCCTGTGCACCGCAGAGGTCAGTCGATTAGTTTATACAGTATATTGTAGATCCACAATGTATATATTTGTGTGTATGTGTCTGTGTGTAAGCCACGAAGGAAAGATAACTGGATGTGGTGCTTGTATGTATTCGTGTACTATCAGACAGCTTTAGAAATGAGTGAACACAGAGCATTACCGGTAGTATATACTGTATGTGCTGAAGAAGTCAGTGAATGGTTGAACACCACCGATACTACATCTGTAATTTTAGTAAAGGTTGCCCTTAGACATAACAAGACAATCCGAATATTTTGGACTAGAATGGTCTAAAAATATTAACGTCGTTTACAAAGAGAGGAAACATTGACATCATAACCACGTAACATCAGTACAATACATGGTAAGATGAAGCCAACCTACCTACATCTTCTTGATCTGTATGAGTGAGAGCACACACCAACTTGTCTGGGCGATAGTGTCCACAGTAAGAAGGTAAACTTATATTTTTGTCAGGAGCACTTTGCGTAAACACTAGACTGAGGCTGGAAAGTTGACGGAGGTAAATGTTGAGCTATGAACTTTTATTTAGGCTTTAAAAAAATAATATTCAAGCCAGTTTATACCAAGAGAAGCATAAATATATATATATACAAGATATAACTAGATGAAAGAGGCAAAACAGGAAAAAGAATTTATGGAATCGTGTGAATTTGATGTTTAGTATCTACTGGAGCGAACTGCTAGACAATAAAAATGCTGAGGAATACAACACGAAAAATATTTACAGTATATGATTAAATGCTTGCACGCGTAAAATAAAATAAAGTAGGTTATGTAATGTTCCAATAATTAAGTTCATTTAATTCTGAATTCAAAATAAAATATTTTCGGAAATTTTTATCAAATTCATTTTAGGATCTATTTTCTATGCAGCAAATGATTACTTTTATTTTATGGGGAGGAAGAAGGTTTGGCATGTGATCTTGTTCTACCCCGTGAGGTCAAAGACAATGTAGGTAATAGAATGTGATGGAAAATATACTGGTTGTTAAAATGGGATGATGAAGCTTCGTGATCAACATTTGGATACGGACAAAAAAATTCAATGACATTTTCCATTACGGACTTGGTAATAGCAGTGTGTGTGTGTGTGTGTGTGTGTGTGTGTGTGTGTGTGTGTGTGTGTGTATGTGTGTCACGCTAATTTGGGATAATCGTCGATTGCCCCATTTTGTTTAGTTACTTCTACAGCTGTCTTGATAATATATGTAAACACTGAAACACCGTACCAGCTTTATGTTTTTATTTACCTCCTGGTTTACCACTGTATGTATATATATATATATATATATATATATATATATATATATATACATATATATATAATTTATGAGTGCCGGAACATAAATAATATACACTGCAGACTGAAGTTGTTCCTCTGCCAACTCAACTTCCTGGTACAAGTCCTGCAGGAATCCTGGAATTACCAACTGCTGCAAGTTTTCCCTGAGTGGTGGTTCGAGAGGAATACTGAGAAAAGTGTTATAAGATTTGTTGTCCTGAATTTTGAGTTAGTGTAGAACAACACAGCGTTGTGAGTTAAGGTACTGATCTGTGGAAGTCAGTTATTGAGTCATTCTGTAGATTGTGAGTGAGACGGGTAAAAATTATCTTATTTCATTCTTCCGCTATAATATCATTCCATTCCCACAACACCAATATAATTGAATCAATATACAGTACGAAATCTCCTGTCACCAACCACAAGAAACAATCATCTTTAAATGCCTAACATTTTGTTTGGTGTTACAGGACGAGCAGCCCCAAAGGTGGAGTGTCGCGTCTTCTCGAGTCTAGCTACGAGTCCCCCGACCTGCTGCCCTACACGGCCAACGTGGAGACCATGCCCATCATCCAGGAGACTCAGCTGTCTTCCGGATAGTTCTGTCTCTTCCACCACACTCTCACCACACTTATCTTTCCTCACAATTGCTACATGAAGCCACGAACGTTGGCACAGCTGTTATGTGGGGCCACGAATGTTGGCACAGCTGTTATGTGGGGGCCACGAACGTTGGCAAAGCTGTTATGTGGGGCCACGAACTTTGGCAAATCTGTTATTTGGGTCCATGAACGTTGGCACAACTGATATGTAAACCATGAACGTTGGCACAGCTGGTATGTTGGGCCATGAACGTTGGCACAACTGTTATGTGGGGCCACGAATGTTGCCACAGCTGTTATGTGGGGCCATGAAGTTGGCACAGCTGATATTTAAACCACGAACGTTGGCACAGCTATTATATGGGACAGCTGTCATTTGGGGACTATGAACAGTGTCATCGTCACGCCAGTATGAGAACCATAAACGTTGATAAAACTGTTATAATGAGGCCACAAATGTTACCATGGAGATACGTTTATCACTTAACGTCTTAAACGTTGTCGTCAAAACATAGTTATCCTATGGATGCCTCAAACGTTATCAAGGTGATCGCCATTAATTGGTCACCTTGAACGCTGTCATAAACATGGGAACACAGCTGTCAAGTGAAGGCTTCAAGCGTTTACACAGCCTCTGAGACACACTTGTCAAGTTAACGACTCAAATAGAAAAGAGTTTTGGTATCCAATCTCTTCCACGTGTATCAGAAACTTTTTGAAGCATACAAGGCGATTTTTTTCACGCTCTATAATAAAGTATTTAAACAAAGTTATCCAGAATCTGCTTATATGACAAAGTAATAATAATATTAATGTTAATGATGATGGTTCTGATAATGAATATCCACTATACTTAATATACTGTAACACATACACGATTTTAAGGGTTGATGCTCTAAGCCGTGAGAATCTTAGGAAGGTCTACGAATATACAGATGAACTATAAGTTGATTTTTTTTTTAGAAGAACTGAAGAAGGAATGAATGATTTATAAGAGAGTTACAGAGGTAACTGGACTGTCCTATTAAACACCAGTCAGGATTAAAATCTAGTGTCTTTAGTAACACAATGAGAAGTTAAATGAGAAGAAAATAATGATGATTCCTGCTTTTATGTGACAGAGCTTCTTGTAAAAGTTGAACTCTAATTAGCCCCTTGAGTACAATGGCTTAAACTTTTGAGTATGATGACTTAACCCCCTTGAGTACAATGGCTTAAACTTTTGAGTATGATGACTTAACCCCCTTGAGTACAATGGCTTAAATTTTTGAGTATGATGACTTAACTTCTTGAGTAAAATTACTTAACTTCATCAGTACTATGACTTGAGCCTCTTGAGAAGAATGACTTAATCTCCTAAGTACGTTATCTCAGCTCTTTGGTTACATTTAAATCCTCACTTGATAACAATGATCTTGTACTCAGGGGGTTTAGTCACTGTACTCAAAGTCAGGTTTAATAGCAAAATATATGACACTTTACGAACTAATTTCTCCAACTAGACTGACTGCTAACAGATGTCTCCTAAAGGTAAAACAGGCAGCCAAGATGTGAGGAAATGGTGAGATCCACTCAACCATTTCTCTCTCACTTCAGCCATACAGACTACGCCACTACGCATTGTGATGTTGTTTCTGAAATAAGAATCTTCGTAAATTCTTAACTAGATAAAATACAAAAAATACAACCATCTGTTTAATAAGAACTAAAGGTGATACAACATTATAACAAGAAACTAATGGATTTTTAAATTAGAATTAAAAAATTTCACTAAAAAAATCTAATGAAAGATAACACCATAAGACTCTAAACGAAAAAGAAAATATTATTGTTATATTTTCAAGTAAACAAAAGAAATGCGACTAAAGTTTCGAGGAAGGAGAAAGTTGCAGTCTGAAAGTTGTTGACAGGAAGTAGTAACGTCAGGAAACGAGATGGACACACGGTCATTAGTGTTAATGTTAAAGGTAAGTATTGAGGTAAATGTATCATGTATGCCGGTTTACACACACACACAGACACACACACACACACACACACACACACTACCAGAATTAACACATAACGCAGTATCGACTTTCCTTAACCCAAAGATAGAAGCTTATATCATGTAGGCGTAAAACTAATCATCTTTGACTGCTCTTAACCTGACACTGGCCTACAGGTGTGTGTGTGTGTGTGTGTGTGTGTGTGTGTGTGTATCATGGACATTCACATTAAAGGACAAGAGCAGATAGACGACAGTACGAAAGTAAACAGATCAACTTGAGGACAGACCAGGGGAACATGACCAGGAATGAAACACTGAAACAAGAAATGAAATTACTATGTTTGACAGAAATAAAACAAAAGACAAACGGCTGAGATGATTGAATGACGTCAGTAGTGTACAAGACAAACACCAAAGAATAACAAATGACTACAGTACATCAGAGGGAACAATAAGAAGATGAAGGGTGAGGTGAGGACTTCAAGGTTGACAATGATCTACCTGAGGGGTGATATATGATTAATATCACACATATAGGCAAAGTAAACGCATATGTATTACATTAGAGGACACGAAAGACTTATAAACAAGCATAAATACGAGTTATATCCTGACTGTTTTGTTTTTACTTGTCTCGACATATAGTTTGAGGAAGCAGACTCGCCCGGATATTTTTTTATGGGAGGGGAGGGAACGTCTTTTGATGGCCTCCGTATATGGCTGATTTAAAGCAGAGGAATGTGGGCATCACTTCTGCCATGTCTCGGTTATCTTCATCAAGTACTGGTTGACCAAAGGGGTTGTTAAACAGCTCCGGGACAGGCGTAACTTTATTCCTAGTATATTCTTTGAGTTGGGACTTGATTTTTTCCACACTATTATCCAAACTGTCTACAGGATGATCATGAGGCGTAGCACTGGTAACACTATATCACTGTTATGGTATTTCTTCTATATTCTCCCTTCTTTTCCTGTTGACATAATAACGATGTCCTGTAAAGAATAATGATTGGCCACTCGCTATGTGGTTATGATCTACATAATTGGTTATTTTGGAATAAATTTTACATTCACTTAGCCCTCTAAGGTACAGACAGATGTTTCAAATAGCCTACGAAGGTATAGACAGGCCAGATCTCACTGATGACTGACTGACAATTAGCCAACTTAATTCAGTACGTCAGGTCAAGTCACGTTGTTGAGGACAAGGTCAACTTTCAATGGTCATTAACTCACAGCAGACAGTCTGGGAGAAGACGAAATTGGGGGTAGACGAAGTGGCCATTAACCACCCAAAAAGCTGCTTGGGCAAACGTTCATGTGGTGCAGCTATCATAAACGTCCAGCTGTAAGACAAGGAGGAACATCAGACACTGTTGATTACTGGCGCGAAATTTTCCTGGAGCGGCAGCGACGGTGATGCTTTTGATGTAATTGGTAACCTATGAAGTACTACATAGACAATAGGTAACAGTAATAGGATAATGACATCTGATTGACTCACCAAATAATGTAAATTAATCCATCCATTTTTATTTTTCACTTTATTTTTTTCGAAATCACCGTCTAAATCCATATTTCTGCATCAGGTACTTAAATAGACTGTCTAATCACAGCTCTATATTGCCTCTCCTCTTCATATTTTTCAAAGAGGTCACCAGGTACTGTAGCTGCTATGACTGATGTTGGTTACCAGTACCAATCCTGTGTCTATAGTACCATACCTGTTGTCTATGTAAAGTAGTAATCAACAGGTCACCAGCATAACCACGTGTTTATTATATGTCATCTTGTTATGATTGAAGAAGTAACTCGTGGAGAGAGACCTTACTGTGTTGTATCAAGCTGGTAGGATTTGACTGCTTAAAGCATAGTTAATGTGTATATATTATTCAACAAAATAAAGAATAAATTTCAATCTTTTTTTGACGATGTATTCTCTAAATGGCATTCTCTGTATGGAGTGAAAAGTTGGTGTGCTTAAGGTAAATATACAAATGGGTGAAATTGATCAGTAAACAGAAACATGGCGAGCACTCCTAAGGTGAAGCTGCTTTATAATACCGGAGTGACTCTGTTTTTAATATAATACTTTATATATTGAATTTGATAAGGACTCAGAGTATTCCTCATTGGCTGCTGTAGATAGCTTGAAATTCATAAAAATTTAGTTTTCTTAATTAGATGTTAGACAGAAATATAAAAATAGGGAGATTCGATAATCCCTGGGTGTTTATGAACAGTATGTACCTATTATATTCAGTGTCTTCACCGATATTTATTCATTTCATATTGAAATTCTGTGTAACATAAGGGAATCACTTTTACATATTTCCCTCTCCCCCGAAGCTCATCATCACCTCTCCATGTGTGTGACCTTGCCAACAGCTGGTGATGGAGAGTCTCTGGTACCCAAATCACGACAAGAAACACAAGAATGTAAGTCAGTTGCAAGTGGACCTCAGTCATAATATTACTTAAACCCTAATTAATCTCAAACCTAACCTAACTTAACCTAACCTAACTTAACCTAACCTAACTTAACCTAACCATTAAGATTTATAACCATTTTCATTGGGCCCCATTAGGATAGGTACACATTAAGAGTGGAGCTTATAATAACTGGAGCCCATTAAGATTGAGCCCCAATCCAAACGTGTGGGTTCAGTTGAGAGCCTATGTGGACTTAGGCTCCACCTGGCCAACCATTACCCCCTGGATTGTCTTCAGCACAGAGAAGTAATCGTCTCCATCACCGTCAGAGAGCATTAACTCCTCCAGGCTATATAATATAATGAGTTCATATCTTTTCTCTCGTTGCCTCGTGATGTCTGTGTGGATTCTTCTCTCCCGATCTCACTATGAGGTGTGTGTGTGTGTGTGTGTGTGTGTGTGTGTGTGTGTGTGTGTATAGGACCTATGAGGAGTGCATGGCTTTATTATTGTTATTTTATTATTATTGTTATTTTATTATTATTGTTATTATTATTATTTATTTATTTATTTATTATTATTATTATTGTATTGTTATTATTATTATTTTTATTATTATTATTATTATTATTATTATTATTATGTATTTATTTATTATTATTATTATTATTATGTATTTATTTATTATTATTATTATTATTATTATTATTATTATTATTATTATTATTATTATTATTATTATTATTATTATTATTATTATTATTTTTATCATTATTATTATTATTGTTGTTGTTGTTGTTATCAGTAGGAATCCTTTATTGAGTTTTATTTGCAGTTACTGATTAATTTTTAAATCTCCAATTTCTTGTAAGGAAAAGAATTGATTAAAGAAGGTTGGTTATATATTTTGTCTACTATTGAGTCTTCGTAGAAATTAGTCCCGTTTTCAAGATTTCATTCCCAAAAGATAGAGAACTACTGGATTGGATATATGAATGACCTAATATTAAGTGTAACTGATTGAGTAACAGCTGAGGTAACACAATAGCGACCTGGTATAGTTGAGGAGGGCGAGATGTTGTAAAAGAATAATGATAAGTTTTACTGTTAACCGGAGACAAGCTTTGATGTCGGCTTTGATCATGTTTGAATGTTTGTGGCCATCAGGTATCGTCCAGCTTGTCAGAAAGATATTTTTGGTTCATCAGTCTGAAAAAATATATTAAACCAATTAGAAAAATTATGGCGTCTTCTTTCTCTCACATGAATGTTTTAGTTTCAGACACTCCTTGTGTAAAACTGTAAATAAAACAATAGACATCCCAACACTGCTACAACCTGGAGTATAATATATATGACACAATTTTACCAGCAGTATCTGTCTCACATTCTGTTGTAGCTTGACACACTTGTACGCTCGTGTGCTTTCATAACTATGTACCTCATATGAATAATGTCTCTTAATAATAAAATGCATTTGAAAGACAGAGTGTTTCTTTGGCCACCATTACAGCTGATAGAGGAGAGAAGCTGAATGCATGAACTAATAAAACATTATGTACCGAGAGAAGGATCCATCCTACAGTGTGGACTTTACAAGGACTCCTTAAGTGGCTGGGAGTCAAAGGCGGCCATTAAATGAATGCAATTAGATGAAACTCGAAAATGACAGTTTTAGTCGAAATTAATCTCTTCATATCTAAAGATGCCAATGAACTCTATATTTTTTTTTCACTGACAGACCCAGGTTATGAAAACGGTGAACTCAGCAACAAATGAGAGAAAAGTGACCCATCAAACGCAGCCATCACCTTTAATTCAGCAAACACACGTACAGTACACACGCTTCCATACACTCATGCACACAGACACCATAAACAAACACACACACACACACACACACACACACAAACACACACACATAAGATTTACTGTATTTCTCTTGGGATCTTTCCTCGCCGTAGTCTGATGCATAAATTAACTTAGCGTGACTGATTAAAGACTTGCACACGTACAAAACACACGTATACAGACCCAGACACACAGAGGTGAAATGATATACCAATTTTGGTATGCATCGTACGCATGGCTGAAAATTTGTGTAGGCAAGTTTTTAAATTTATGTTGTTCATATACGTATCTCTCTCTCTCTCTCTCTCTCTCTCTCTCTCTCTCTTTCTCTCTATGTTAATACTTTGTACCATTCCCCTTTACTATAGCCTTAGCCTTTTACTTAACCCTTTACTGCTTTTTATTGTTAGTTAGCCTTTTCAATGATTTTTAGATACCCTTTCAGTATTTTTCTTTACCAAACACGCTCTCGAGGCCAGATCACGCCATAAAACAAGTCATTCTCAGTTGTCACCTCATAGAGTACAGGCATAGAGCTCAGCATAGAAAGAATCCCTGTTACTTTTCCGGATAAAATCCTCACTGTGTAGTAGCGAGAGGTCAACTGATCAACTGTGTTTTATAATACTTTTGTCGGCGTTTAAACAGTTGGGTTTATAATGTAGGACTCTTTTGTTTTTTTTTAGTGTTTCTTTTTGAGTAAATTTGGTCCTAGTGACTTAGACTCATCGTCAATATCTATTTGATCTTGATTTTAAGGTCTAAAAAATCTAAATAATCATGTATATTAATATGACTCAGAGATGACACAAGGCTTACGATAATCATATAGATCTATTATGTCTCATATGACTTACCCAACTCGACAGTGAGAATTGGAAAGAAATCGATCTTGTCTCGTCATCGGTTGGAGAGAAGGCCTTGTGGTATCAGCTTTAACACGGAACTTTGCAGACCGCTGTGGGAAGTTTTCTTGGCGAGAGGATCTATCTCATAGCTCGCCAGGGACCACGGTGACACCATCCTGGTTAAAAGTCTTCTTTAGAGAGAGAGGGGGGGGGGTTATTGGGAGTACAGTACAGTCACCTCAAAAAGGACGCGTCTCCTTCCGAACGAGTCAGTGTCAAAACTAAATGAAATACTGCAGCATCAGCAGTGTTGGGATCCTGAACTAAACACACCTATGAGTATTCTTAGTTATAATGTCCCTTACCTGAGCATGTTATACACATATCCTCTAACATTCCGTTTTGAATGTAAGAGTAAAAAAATATGAACAAATAAAGGATTCCTCACTTCCTCTTTCATTGGTGTTGTCACCCTGACTCTCTCTCTCTCTCTCTCTCTCTCTCTCTCTCTCTCTCTCTCTCTCCTGGGGAAGATGGCATATTATTGAAGTTGTCAGGGAAGAATGTCATTCTTAATACATTTGAAAATTATGCCCTTGATCTGTATTACGTAAAATAAATTTGATGTAACAAATACAAAGGCGCTTATTTTTCAATTGAAAGACGCAATAAAAGTTCCTTATGCACCAGATACAACAAACAAATATTGTAATATGTAGTCAAAGTAGATGCGACCCAAGTGACATCTTATCGTCCACTACCAGCTAAATCTCTTCGGCGGCGAGAATGTATAGAACTGTTTTACGCCCTATGTTTACTCAAAGATTGGATCACTTGTTTTAATATGAATTTACATAATTTAGTGTGGTGGTCTGACCCATAGACACGAGTGGCAAACGCAGGGGTTTAGAGCAGTGCACACAGTGCGTCCCAAACGAGCTGATGAGGACTGAGGACTGGATGATGGTGCGATAATAAATGGCTGCCTTCGTTGCATGGCCCATAAATCTTGTGAAAACGTTACATAATTGTTCTCATGTGTACATCATACTGATGTTTTGGTTAAGATTCGGAAAGGTTGGCCACAGAACTTAATATATACAGGGTATGTCTATATAGGCAGAGCCAATCCCCCCCCCAAAAAAAAAAAAAAAAAAAAAATATATATATATATATATATATATATATATATATATATATATATATATATATATATATATATATATATATATATATATATATATATATATATATATATATATATATATATATATATATATATATATATATATGTATATATATATATATATACGTTTCCATCGAAAAAAATTTTTTTCGAGTAATTTGGACTTCACTTTCACTCACGAACTTACATTTTTGCGGGAAACACTGCTTCCACATGACTCACGCGCCAATCACTTAAAGTCTTGGTGTCACGTGACTGTTTACCAATCAGCATTGCTCTCGGTGTCACCTGATACTCTGGCGTTTGCTCAGTTTCGATTTTTTTTTGTTGGCTAGTAGCAAGATAACGTCTTTCTGCCCGGGTGTTCTTTGTCAACTTGGGAAACTATTCATCGTGTATTTCAAAACAAAGCCGCTGCCATTAACATTTTTAAGGCTCATGGTATTCTGCCAACTTCTGTGAAGTGCTACAGGTGTTCAAACGCAAAATATTGAACGATTGTGGAAGGATGTCAAGAGTTGGGTGCTTCGTGTCGGCAATAAGATGGAACATTGTATTCCAACGAACACAGGACTTTGCTACATCACTTCCTCCTACAAG